TTTCATTATGAAATCTACGTGGTCATGAGGGTTGAGCAAATGGCACAGAATATGGTTTGGCAAATAATCTAGTCTTCAAGTTCATTTCTTTACAATTTCGTCTTTTTTCGTTTGATTTTGGCATTCTACGACATTGGTATAGTTTTTATTAATTTTTTTGTAACTTATGGTATATTTTTGCTCATTTTGCAACTGTTTTGTACGATTTACAGTATGGTTGAAAACTTTTTTTTTGTTGAAACGGCCGAAAATTCATGCGCGCGCGGATGTCATCCAAATAATCAAATCAACATGGCCTAATAATATTTTAATTGTATATCAGTGTCTATTGAGTGGGGGGATTCATTTTCATGTTTAGAAATTACTCATCATCATTGCATTATTTTTTTTAAGTAGTTGAAAGGTTTTGAAAATAGATTTACAGTATCTTTGACAGTGTAAAATCACTGCCATTGAAGCTTTGAGCAGTAAAACCAAACTTAATACAAATCTTACTGCTCCTCTTCTGAGCTTGAATCTAAAATGGGAGCTAACTTCAAAATCTTAAACAAAGTACTACAACAAAGTACCACAACTAAGATTCCTGTCCCTTAGATGCCAAGAATATCCTGCATACTATCATACATTTGATAATATACAAAAATACCTACAAAAATATTTGGGTGCACTGGTGCACCCACAGGAAAAAAAATTGGGTACACATAAGGTACACATGCACTCAGTATTTTGAGCCCTGGAGTTTCTGGTCAAGAACTGTCTTATCTAGTCACCTTGGAACATCTATGCTGTATACTGGAAGAACAAACTGTGCTCCAGGTAGTGAATTGTGATAGGCTGTGTCCTCCTCACAAGACTGTCCCACTGTACAAGGTATAGGTTGTGCCATAGCTCCATCTACAAGGCACTGGGGTTCCTCACAATTCTGAGAAAAAAATGTAGTTCTGTCAATAGTGTTTTGGTGAATACTTAACTTCTTTATTTTTCTTTATTTGAAAATAATAATTAAAAAAAAACTAAAGAATAAAGGTTACATGTTCTATGTAAGATCGAAATGAACCGGAAAATTCTAATATTTTGTCTCCTTTTGTAGAATTTGGGTCTAGTAATAAGTACTAAAGAATGCCTAGACCTCATTTTTTTACTGCGAATATCTGGGAACTAAGATACATGTGTACTTTTGCTTGGCCTTGTGTCGATAAAACATTGAAAGATAAGTCGGTGAATCCTCTCAAATATGACGTTCATTTATGACAAGGCGCCTGCGGCCACCTTTAACGCCTTACATTTGTATCTTACTTACTTAACACCTAATTATCATGCAACGTAATCTCACAGTGATAAAGTTACTGAAAACCCTAAGACTCTAGCAATTGGCTTAACTTGAAATAAAATACAACTCAAAATGCTAAATCTACAGATTTTCTTTCCTAGGTCAACACTAAAACATAATCCAAAAGATAAAAACATGGCTAAGTAACAAGTCGTCACGCATGAAAGAAGAACACACACACGCACCTGAAAAACTATTTGCATAACGGAACACGGAAATCCGTTATTATTCTCATCCTGAAACGAGTGGAAATGCTCGCTCCAGGTGTCGTCGTCTAGAAGGACCAACGTAGCGTCGGAAGACGGGGAAACTTGCGAAGTTGTTGTCGTGATGTTGCCGTAGACATAGCCTACTGACTGGGCGTTGGAATGAAAGGCAAACATTGCAACAGGTTGATACCTTGAAACGTCCCAAAACCCGCGCACACGGGCGCCCTCTCCAAGAAAAGGTAAAGACAGAAGAAGCAAGAAACACACTAACGCACTGATTCGTAAGCAGAGAGGAAGCATACTGACTACAGATAACGTTATAGAAAGGAAAGAGGAAAATAAAGAAGGCACCGCAACATTGAGTGAACTTTGTCCCGTGACAGGTGTTCCGCTTTCTCAACTTTCAGGGGAAGGGTCCATTTCGTGGCTAGGGAGAACTTCGAGGGACTGTAGCATTTCTAGTAACAAACGCTAACACTGAACCTCACGAATTAACATCACGGATAACGACATAATGCACATTTGCTCAAAACATTAGGCTTACAGCGACGTTATGCATTTATTTTTGTAAAAAAAGAGCACCCCCATGTTTTTTTGGAACGGTCTGCTATGAGGGTCTGCATGACCTTTTTCGTAAGGCGTAATCAGGCCGTTTTAGACTTCGTAATTCGTAGGCAGCGTACAACATCAACGTAATTGGTAATAGGACATTAGCCGCAAATCGTTAAGTCGTAATCAGCTCTGAGACTTTGACGTAACGATTCGTAATCGGCGGCGAAAATTTTGCGTAATTCGTAATCATTACCCCCATGCAGGCCCTCTGTTCTCACATGATATACCCTAAACAGAAAACTGCAGGAGCTCTGGCCAATCCTGAAGTGGTTCAGGTCAAACCCCCACAATAAATCATTAAAATTTGTACTTTGCCCTCGGCCCTCCCCTGGAGCACGTAAAGATGCTGAACCCTGTAACGATTTGCTCATTCGCACGCCGTCTTCCGTCTGTAATAGGAGCTCGCCGCGCCATTTTCACAGCCACAGCCTACAACATGCCGATCAAGGTTTGAACGGATTTTTTAGTTGTTTCTCATGGCCAGACTGAGTGTCACTAGCATGTTTCTCATGTCCCTCGAATATTTGTGGGTCTGCAACATAATTTTTTTGTGTAGTACTCTGGATGCCAGGCGCATTTAAGCACGCTAGTGGCTAGGCACAGTCCTTGGTTCAAGCACGGATCAGCGTAGCCTGGTATCCAGTCTCATCGTGGTGGGTGCCGAAAGAGCTCTGTCCCGCCCGCCTCACATAGGTTTCCCGGTGTGTATTTCACGAGAGATTGATTAGATCGTGTTGGGGGGAAACCAAATCCCCAAGCATACTGTCTCTTATTAGCGTAACTCTCCTACCGGGACGGTCTGTTGCACTGGGCGGGGGAAGCTATTAGAGCCCCCGAAAGCACAACCTGCCCGAACACCCCACTATACCCCCAATCACGTAAGACTGGATACGAGGCTACCAGGAACTATAACAGGTTTAGGGTTTGGGGTTATTTTTGGCGTGTTTTGAGACTTTTTATTCATCTATCGGGGTTTCTTTTTTGCACTGGAAATTTGGGTTGGGTGAAAGAAAAATTCCCGTGCAAAAAAGAATCCCCGATTTAAAAAAAAGTCTAAAAACACGCCAAAAATAACCCCAAACCCTAACCTCTGCTTGGAGAGTAGAGGAACTAGCCTGTGTAGCACTGCAGCCCTAGAAACAGTCTGGCACCTAGGCTTAATTTAGTGTTTATATTGAAGAACACCTTTCGTGGTTTATTCTTTGCACTGTGAATCCTTTCGGATGTTTTTTTATCTCTATCGGTAGCAATCAGCAAATTGTTTTAATAATTTCTCACCTGTATTCCTCACCTGTAATGATAATAGCTTGTGACCCAGATGGTGGGGCACTTATTAATCTAATCAGGTGAAACTATTGGACTGACAATCAGATAGAATGTGGCCTTGTATATTAGACATGTTGGATACTAGTATCTGTACTATATTTACACGGCAAATATTGGGACACGATTGTACATGTACAATGGATATACACGCGTACAGTACGGCATTGACTTGTATCTAAAATTATATAGACGTGTAAAAAAAGCTTTTAATTTCAAGATTTCCAGAAGATCAAGAGTCATTGTTTGCTGGCTAGAGTCAGTAGTGTACCCAATGTAAAAGAACCTTAGTGGCCAAAGGCACGTACAATGTAACGTTACCCCCAAACATTATACATCTGTACCTGTAGCCTCCAGGTACCAGATGACACGTCACCTGGACACACCCCCTATGCAAGGGGACCAACCAGATGTAGCAGTGGGGGGGTTTATAGGCGCTACCAACTGACCCGGCCGATGGGTGTTTAAAAGACCTTTTCAGCCGAGTGGTTAGAGCGTCGGCATGTGGACTGGTGCCCGGGTTTGGTGGTGGCAGGGTTCTAGCTAGCGCGAAGTTAAGCGTAGGGGCCCCCTATGCTATAATTTTAACCCCCTACGCTAAGTTGCCCCCCCTACGCTATAATTTTGACCCCCTGCGCTAAATTTTCAATACAGCAAAGGGGTATTGTGACTGTATTTCTTTGTTCAAGAATGCCAGATCAAATATGCAAAATTACCAATCAAGGATACATTGTACATACCTTAGAAATAACATTTTCCCCTTTTTTTGGCTTTAGGTATCCCTCAAATGGCCCCTTTTTTAGCTCAAGATTTTTAAAAGCTCCTCCCCATCCCCCTCTCAGTCGCTTCGCTCCCTCGACATGCGGCCAGTACCACTACGCTAAAATTAAATCCTAGCTGGAACCCTGGGTGGGTTTGAACCCTGGCCCGGGATCTGTTTCTACTGCTCACCCTCTGTTTCTTCCAGTGGTTCCCATGCCGGCCCTGCAAACACTGCATCCAAAAATTTTACTTGCCCAATTGAGCAAGTCCAGGGGGATATATACTTGCCTGAACAGTACTTTTACTTGCCCTGAGCAAGTGGGCAATGGGACTTGTCCAACCCTGCCCTGTTTAAGGTTGAATCCAGAAGAGGATTTCATGTCCACCTGTATTTTATAGCCATTTCTTGAATCATATTTCTGTATGACCTGTTCCAGGTTGGAGACAAGTTGCCGGGGATTGACCTGTACGAGAACACCCCTGGGAACAAGGTCAATGTCAGCGAGCTGTTTGCAGGGAAGAAAGGCGTCCTGTTTGCTGTGCCGGGTGCATTTACTCCAGGCTGCTCAAAGGTGTCTTTTTTTAAACATACAATTTTCAGTTCACATTTTAGTAATGCAGCGATCAGAAAATTATCACATTAGGCTCATTATAACGGCCGTAGCCTGAGGTGGGGTGGTGTTACGGCCAGCCTCGACCGCTATTGGAGGTGTTGATAGCCAGCGGGACCGGAATGGGGTGACCGCTGACCACATTGAACAGGTGACCGCTATAGACACAATTATAATGCTTACGTCAATGGGAAAAATTCAAGGGACCGGCAAAAACTGACCGCTATGGCCAAGTGACCTGGCCAAACTCTTGCCTACATGTAACGATTGTTAAGGATACATGTAGATAGATGAGTAAATGGGGTGTAGTATGGCATCAAATTTGACTCAAATTTAACTCATTTTTTTAGATTCATATAGAAAAGTAGGCACAGACTATATATGGTCCAGCTGCTAAAAGAGAGATTGGTGTAACATGGAACTGGACCTTTTAGCCTTGCGGTTAGTGTGTTGGGTTCGTGAGCTGGCAGCCTGTGTTCAAATCCCGGGAACCAGGAGCAGGACACTCCTCATAGTATCAACTGGCAAAAATAGTGGCCATTGATATTAACTTTTAAAAGATTGATTTTTTTTTTACAATTTTTCATGTAGATTAGTTTTTTTTAGTCTTCGAATTTAGCAAGAAAATATGGAGCAGGCATTAGTGAAATATATGTACTTTCTGCTATTGATTTTGTTTTCTGTAGGTTACATTAGTTCAACTAACTCCTTTTTTTCAATGAAAAATCCAGCTGCTAAGAACTTAGAGCTTCTTACATAAGATTATCAAACAAAGCTGCTTTAAAATCTTGTTTTGAAAAGATCGTGTCTAAAACCGATTACCTCATGATAAATTACCTAAGCTACTGGATAAATAATCTAATGCAAACATTGCTTTACCAAAGAAATGCCAACAAAAAAGTGCAATGTCATACTCCTCTAACATTGATTAACTAAGGTTACATAACAACATTACGTAACATTATGTTACAGAACAAATATACGCCACACATACGCCACTGATGTTGACTTTGCACATAGTTGTAGGTATATGTAATGTGTAATGGGTGAGTCTAGCAGTGTTCGAAATACCTGTCTGCAGTCTGCAATCTGCAGATAGATTTTCAAGATTGCAGAAGAACAATTTATGCAATCTGCAATTTTGCAGGAGGAAAAATTGGCACTTGGGATTTGGGGCTCCTGGCCCCGAGGACAGACAACACTTAAGCTCCTGTTCTGAAACAACAGGAACTTCTTCACTAATTTACATCAACCTTGTCTTGGCTTGTCTATCTTTTGTTTCCTTTTGGACTTCCAAAAATTTTTCTTCACTAATTTGCATATCAATCAATAGTTCATGCTTATAAACTTGCAAGATTGTAGTATAGAGGCTCGTGTATTTGCAGAAAGTATTTCCAAATTGCAGAACAAAATTTTGACTCTTCTGCAATATTGCAGAACACTGAAAAAAAGTATTTCGACCACTGGTCTAGTGAATAGGTGGTCTGTATAAGTTTAACCCATAAATTATGTCACTTTATGAATAACCCTTAGCGGGGCTGGAAATACTAGGTTTGTATAGTAGGCTGGTTCTAGCTATTTATGGGCGGTACCCAAAAATAAACAGACACCTCTTATAGCTTGCTTTGGGGCTATTTCAAATACTAATCAAGCTAATGAAATGATGAAAAAAATATGCTAAGAAATGGCAGTAACACTAAATGTTAATATCGGAAAGATTTCCTCATCCAGAACATTTTTTTTGCTGCCCTGAAACTGCATTGCCTTTGAAAATTGTGCATATATAGTAAAAGGTTAAACTTTATTCTAACACACAATTGTACAGGGGTCAAATTTTCAGCGACCACTGTCGCCTTCATCAGGATAATTAATGACCAATCACTTTACAACGTGATCTCGCGAGAAATACGGTTTACAAACACGTTGT